CTTTTTAGGTAGTATTGCTTACTTGCTTTACTTAAGTTAAGCGGCCTTAGTGCAGAGCCATTTAACTTTGGCGGTTTGAGAGAGGGTAAAGTCCATTTGCGTTTGACGAGCATCGACTCAGTATCGTGTACCAAAGGCCACATCGCCAAAAAAGTTTCTCTTAAAATGATAACTGATTTCTTAGCTGGTTGAACTGTACTGGACATTTCGCCGCCAGAATAGCCTGATTTTGACCCCAACTTTTTCATCACAGCATGACAAGAAAAAAGATCGTCCTCTGTCTTTACCATTAAACCTGATAAGATGTTAGCAAACAATTCTCTGAAAGTTACTAACACAACGGAACCTGGTTTATCTTGCGACCGGACCGGCTTAGAGATAACATTCATGGTACTGGATATCACTGCAAGTGCGATTATACTCTTCGGAAACTTCCTGGTGTTTGTAGCCATAGTAACCAGCCTCACCCTTCGGCCGCAGCCCATGAACCAATTTCTAGCTTCGTTGGCAGTGAGTGATATGATCATGGGGGCATTCGTTTCTCCCGTCTACTCATTGTTCTGTATAGGTTGTCTTGAGTATTCTTTAAGCAAGTACTGCTGGCTCCTTGAAAGTGCAAAAGATCTCGCTCTTGCGTCGAGTATCTTAAATCTACTGGCTATTTCCTACGACCGCTGCTGTGCGGTGTATTATCCTCTGCAATACCAAATTCTGATGACCAAGAAAAGGGTTTACTCCATTATTTGCTTTATCTGGGGAATGACCTTCTTTATTGCTGGAATTCGCCACTCTTGGATACACACAAAAACAGGATCTGAATTGCATACCATCAACAGTCTTTACAACATCTTGCTGATTTTGTTAATTTTTTTTCTCCCGTGCATAATAATCACTGTGATAAACCTTAAGATCATAATGACCATCAGGAATCAGGCACGACAGGTCTTCTCATTAAAAAACATGCATAGGCAAGATGCAGAGGTTGCCAACCAAGATGATATCCAAGAAGAAGTGACCCGAAAGCGAAAGGGCACCTTTGCATGCGCTTTGGTTGTCCTGGTATTTGTGGTTTCATGGATTCCACGTGTCAGCTTCAACATTCAGTACAAATTAAAAGGCGACCTTGGAGGGGTTAATATCCTTCTGCAGAAATTATCCATCTTTTTCTTAACTGTCCAGTCGTCGGTAAATCCAATTATTTATTCCCTTTACAGATCTGATTTCCGTGAAGCTGTTGTTAAGCTGCTCAAATGTAACACAAACTAAAACAGCCCAAAAAATCTTGCTCCTCATGATCAGTCCCATGGACAGCTTAGTACGGGAAATCCAGTCACCTATTTTTTGGTCTTTTAAACAAGCTGTTGCTTTTATTAGTCAATGTAGAGCATTCTAATATCAATCAATGGCACATAGTCAGAAAGCCTAAATTGAACATGAATTGAATGGCTTCTATCAATTTTAAACCACACTGAACGCCGGGTCAAAGACTTTGCTGATAAATGATAGATGACTTATACTTGTTTAATCTATACATACTCCTCTATACTAAAACGTGTTTCATTGTCTCTGTAAAGCCCGTTGAGGAATCAGAAATAAATCTTGGACTGTAACAGTGGATCTTTAACTGCATAAACTGTATTTCAAATAAAGAAATGTCTACTCAGTTTTCTGCGTAAACGGATGTTTAAAAGTTGTACAAAAAAAAGATAAAAATAGATTCCTCGTAAGAGGATGGTTTTTAAAAAGACATTCGCGTGCTTTAAGCGCCCATGATATCAGGGGCACCCAACGAGAATATAGTTCAAAACCACTTAAACATAGCATTTTTAAACGTATTTTAGTATTTAAACGGTAAATATAGGCATATTTTTATCCCCTAAAATTTTTTCATCTGTTCGGATTTCCTAGCTGAAATTATAATGATCCGAAAATTGTAGGGATCAAAACTTACCTTTTCGAAAAGTTCAGCCAGAAAAAAAGGTTCCGAAAATTCTAGGTGACCTTTTTAGGTTAAAAATCCGTTAAAAATGGGCAATTATACCATTTTTTCGATGTTTGAAAATCCTAGGAGAGGCAGGCAAGCAAGAAATTTTACAACAAATGTTCCGAAAATTCTAGATCTCAAATCGTCTTCCGATATTTTCCGAACATTGAAATTCGGTGCCCCTGATGATATAACGCCTGGGATTCGAAAGAAAGCTCGGTTATCAAGACTAAACTGCAGTACTTGTACTGTAACAGATTTCAGGATTTTTCCAGTCTTTAAACGTACAGATGGAGTAACGACCCGGAAGGACAAAAGACTTCTTCAATGTGAGCAATTCAACTTTATTTGACCTGCTTAGTATATATTTACCTTTTTTTAATTAAACAACACAGAATTTATTAAAACCCGAACCGGCGTTTATTCAAGGGCAAGCCATTTATTCTTAAAATCACTGACAACAATAATCACAATCGATGCACCATTTGTAAATATTACGTAATTAAAACAGGAAAATGTTTAAAGTTCCATTATCAAGCCTTTTTTGCTAAGGTAGAATCGTTATTGTCTGGCTGGTGTAGATTAGAAAGTTGCAGCTAATTACTTTCTTCGAATAAACGCCGCTTCGACTGTTTCGGTGCGAAGTTAAATCGAGGGCGGCGTTTAATCGAGTAAATACGGTACTCAGTTTCCAAACCCTAATCACTTATTCAAGAAATCATTTTGTACAATAACCCTGAATAACTCAGTTATTTAATAATCATGAAATGCTTAAGCTTAAGCTTTTTAGGTTTGCCTGTCCGAAGTAATGCTTGTGTTGTTGAGAGTCTCTTTCTCCTCAAAAGCTCTCTTAAACCTATCACTGCATGTTTTCTCGTAGCCCTGTTTCTATTATTTTCCTTTTTCCAGCCTTCTATAAGCAAAATAGCCACAACCGTTGAATGTAGCACGCAGTTTGCGACCCATAGATATCCGAGAAGCCTTCAACTCGACATATAGAGTTCTGGTCCATTAATACCGCCACGGTTTTTATGCTAATCCCTTTTCCGTTCAAGACATTTTTAGATAGCATTTAAAGTTGAATTTCCAAGCGTGAACCCCTTCATCTAGTAAGTTGCCATGGTTGCCTTGGTTGGTCGATGTTGGTTATCTTCTTCAATTTAGTAAGCTTATGAAAATGAAAGAATACTTATGAAATACCATTTTTTAGTGAGGGTAAGATACTTAAATTACTGAGACATCGTAGGTTAAAATAAAGATACAACAAGTTTTTTTCATTACTCAGGAACCTACATGCGACTTGTCTTTATCGATCTCGAAGAAAATTACGTGTCAACCAAGTAAAAACTTTGTTTGCCAAAGTTAGGTTTTTAATCTATTTTCCCTTTCGTTTTTAACTTGTAGATTACGCGTAGCGTAAGGTACAAGTTATTGTGGGCACTGCGATGTGCAAATGCATCACTCGGGTGTAGACAAATTTGTAATTAGTCGGCTCCGCACGAAAGCGCCCGATATCAAAACGACAACTGTCGTAGATCGCTCCCGTTCCGCGATCAGCTGAGCGTGCATTGTGTCCAAAGCTTCTGATGTTATGATTTTGAACATTTCCCAGGACGATAAGTTCTCTTCAGTTATATGTAGACTTTGAATGTTTGAAATTAGCGCTATGGCCAACTTTGAGACAGGAGTTTATGAACTTTTGAAGCTTTTTGACTCGTCGAGGCGATAAACATGACAAAAAGATCAGCAATTGCATTGTTCTGCGACTCCCAAGCTGGTCCAAGCTCACGATTCTCGTGATTTTTCAACCTTTCTCACGGCAAGACTCCCAATCTCATGGTTTGTAGTGAAACTGATATCATTCCGAAGTGAAATGTTTCTTTGTCCAAATAAAAAGGAAATATTTACTGTTGCTGAATCATAATTGATTCTCCTCATGTAAACGTTGAGAATTGCAAGCTGTATAAGGCCGTCAGCAGGAGACTTCGAGACGGTTTTGCGAGACACTTAGCTTGTCGGCCATATATATGTTCTTCAAATGCGACGAAATGAGTTAAAGTACGGCTTTTACTGTCAAAACGTAACCATGCTTGGTTTCCTCGAATTTATCTTTCAATTCTTCATAAATAAAGCTCTACCAGATTCAAGCAGCGTCTACCGGTAGAATTTCATGGGCAAAAAATTTTAAAAGATTTGTTTAACGTTAACTGTCGTGGTGCATATTGACATACGCGTTGGCCTCACACTTTGAAGGTCCGGGGTTCGACTCCCGCCGGAGGAGACTTTTTTTTCCTTTTGTTTGGTCGGTTTGTTTTGCTTTGTTTTGTTTTGTTTTTTTTTTTTTGACAGACTTAAAATATACCGGTAGACAAATCGCAGGTTCATTCTCAGCTTTCATTTCTAAAATAATTAATCCACAAGTTATCCATAGGCAGCGTTTGAATTTGTCATAACAAAACCGCACTGGAAAAACGAAGACCTTAGTTTACAACTTTATCTGCGTTTTTTATCACGGCTGGTTGTTATTTATTTTTGCTAAGTTGCAGGTTTTCTTTAACAAGGTGATGCTGAAAGATAGTTACGCTTTTCGTCTTTCACTTTTAGGTTAAAAAGTTTAGAGTATCACTGGTAAATCAGTAAAATTCAGATGAATCAGCATGAACTTAAACAAACTTTAAAAACGGGTATTTTCTATCTTACATGTCACTGATTTCTTGGGTAATTTAGTTTCAGTAGATAAGGGGGATTTTCAATATCATGCACACGACTTCAACGCGGTACTCAACCAGCAGCCGGGTTCTCTTAATTAAATTGTGCCTTTTTAAAGGTGCCAATTCATTGACCTGGATTATTGCCCCTGTTATGATAAAATGAGTCTTTAAATTTTGATGCCCCCTTGTGTTTGCCTTGAAGATATATAAATTATCTCTCACCTTAAAAACCTAATGTTTCCGACGCGGTTAAGTAAATTCAATCAGCGCTGCCATCTATCGCAGTCACAGCGAAGCAGATGGATATGGCTGACTCCAATGAAACAAAACCAGCTGATCTAAAGTGCAGCCACGCTCTTGAACTAACCTTTTGGATTCTCTATGGATGTGTCGGTGTTGTGACATTCACAGGGAACTGCTTCACCTTTCTTGTTTTTGTTACATCAAAGAGGCTGCGACAAAGCTACATGAACGTATTTTTACTCAACCTTGCAGTCGCTGATGTAATGATGTCCACATTTGTTGTTCCATATAACGTGCTCTGCAATAGTTGCTCGGAAAGCGCACCACAATTTTGCTGGCTTATGGCTGGTCTTAAGGACATTGCTTTGGGTGGAACGGTATTTAATTTAGCCGCAATATCGCTGGACAGATTTCTGGCGGTAATAAGACCTTTACATTACCACAACGACATGACTAATACTCGAGTGATCTGCATTTTACTAGGCGTCTGGTCTTTCAATTTTATCCTAGCTGCCATACGGAATACCTGGTTACATACAACTTCACCAGACGAAGCACTAAGAAGGGACAAGATTTACAACAGCATTTTAATTTTCGCCTTTGCCCTTTTACCACTCCTCGTTATGATAGTAATGAATGCAAAAATAATCCAAGCTATTCGGAGGCAAAATAGACTGGTTCACCAAGAAAGAATCAGAGGAAACACTGGAGAAGGAAATCAAGGTTCTCGACCTGCAAGAGAAAGAAGCAGGGCTCGAAGAGGAACTATGGCCTGTGTATTTGTTGTCTTCATCTTTTTTGTTAGCTGGCTACCACTAGGTTTTGTTAATTTTAGTTTTGTATTTGGCCGGCGTGATCTAGTAAGTGATAGTTTGGTTAAAGTAGCTTGGCTGCTACTTTTGCTTCAGTCGTCGGCAAATCCTTTTATTTATTCTTTTTTTCGTTTTGAGTTTCGACAAGCCGCACACAAATTAATTTTCTGTCGATTTAGAAGAGTCGATATTGAACCGACAAGCCGTTTTTCGGGCACCAACACCAATTAAATACAGGAAACGGTGTTTCTCTGGAACTAAGAAATATCGGTTAATTAACTTTAAAATAAAAGGAGTTTATTTTGTTGTTTTTTCCTCTCGCTCTCCGACAGATTATGTACATGTTAGAAAGGTAAAATACATATGGTTTCCTGAAATGACAACACACTTGACATTGAACCAAGAGCGTTTTTCGGCCACTTAAACACTTAAAAAAACGAAATTAAAACAAAAACAAAAGACGGCTTTTCTTCAAAATATTGGTTAGTAAATAAACTGTAAAATTAAGGCCGACTTATTACTGCAATCTCTTTTTTTTGTCTTGGTTAGACTTTGAGGAGGCATAAAAGGTGATTCGCGCTCGTCTTGCGCTTAGCGCGAAATGCCGCGTTTGCCTCGCTTGCCTCATGAAGCACCTGTTATGCAGGCTAGGTTAAATTAAAAGGTACAATGTTCATGTATATTATACCCTGAAGTGACACATCAGTCGATATTGAGCCGACAAGTCGTTTTCGGCTTCTTTTTGCAGCAAACGGAGTTAAAAGATTAGTACACTGTATACACGGTTGTTTTCCTTCCTCTTGAACAAAATTATAAACTTTAAGATAAACACATATTGCATATTTCCTGAAATATTTACAGGTTAAAAAAAATGTTGGTTTATATGAACACACACAACACAAACATGATTGTTCTTAATCGGATACAGGTGTAGCTAATAAAGTTGTTACAATACAGAATGTGGTCTGCATGCCTCGACCGCCAACCAGTTTATGGATAAGCAATGACGCAAAACCGTTAGGTGCTAGATAAGTATGACGCAAGATTATTAGATATAGCTCGCGCCGGGTAGTTTTTTATCGTTACTTTTTTTTGAAACATTAGGTTTTCTTTTCATATAACCTTTTTGGCAAAGCCGAAATTAAAAGTTAGAAAAGGTTGAGACTCTCTTTTCCTTATACCTGTCTACGTGATATTTTTCACTTAAAAGACTCGATCCTAAACAACTAATCTTAATTGCTCTTCAAGAAATATCTTCAGAATCAGATTTACGACAACCAGAAGCAAAGACTTCCTTGAAAAACAACTTGGGCTCCTTTTTTCCTGATTATAAATGAAACTGCAAATATAAATTTGTCACGTATACAAATTAAAGTAAACAAAGGCTTAACACTCGAATAGGCGAATTATTGGTATTGTTAAATACAGTTTGCTTCGAGTTCTTCGATTTGCTATAAGCGGTGTTTGTGGCTTAGAAGTCACTTTTACGTTGCATGGTCACCATTTACTTATTAAACAAGGCAGATCCAAAAACGCACCTGTTTTTCCCGATGATGATTTCTGCCAAAAATTTAGATCGTTCGTTTTCGAGTGGTTGTTTTCGATAGCAAAACGTCTTGGCTAGCAGTCATATTTCTGTAGACAATTAACTACCTGAAAATAACACCACAATTGCTTCTTAATACTATTCCGGCTAGAATATGCTTGAAGGGCCCTGGAATTATCCAATACTGCGCAATAAGATGAACCTATTTGTTCAAATTAGGTTCGTTATTTTAACACTTGTGTTTTCAAAAGAGAAGTTTATAAAGAACTAAATTTCCTAGCATCTATTGTTTTCCTTTTTAGTCTAGTCCACACCAGTCTCTTTCGCAGTCGTTTTTGTGACTACTGCGCATGCACCAATTGTCACTCAGTTGCCATCGAGTTAGTTTTCCGAAAGTAGGTAAGTAACTACCGATAGAATATACTTCGGAGCAAATCAGCATACTTAGTTTTCCGAAAGTAAGTACTGAGTAACAATAGAGTATACTTCCTCCCCGGGGCAAAATCAGTGTGCAAAGCAGTTTTCGGAATCTTTCGTCGATGGTCCTCTATGACAAGCGAAATGCTCGGCTGCCTCGTGGTCTGCTTTGATAGCTAGTGTAACCGAATGAAAAGGCAATGAAATACATCATTTCTCAAGAAGCGTATTCATTTCACTTCTCATCTTCAAAATAAACCCAGAAACCACGATATTTGTATAACAGATTTCTCCACTCCAAATCAACTCCTGTGAAAACATCAGCATCGTTACTTTGTGTAATGAAATTCTGAAAGAGACTTTCGGTCACGTGCTAGGCAACGAAGTGCAATGACACTCAATTCGCAACACACGCAGTAAGGAAACAATATTTTTCGAGTTTTTGTTCTTTAAAAATTCTATCTAAATGATGTTTCTGTCATTACAGTTAATCGACTTCAAAGGGCTGTCAAGGTATAAATTTCTGAGGTCTTACGAAAATCTTCTTACGGCTTCAAAGGAGACTAGACCATTTGCAGCGTAGTCAGATGTATCAGTTATATGGTCCTTTGATAGTGATAAACCACACACAACCCACATTCCCTTGATTCGTTCAGACGAGGGGCTACCCAGTAAATTATCAATCAACAACTTTTGCTGACACAACCTCTCAGTCTAGTGCTGTTCAATCGATTTCTCGGGACGTAACAACTAAAAGAACTATCAAGAGAATCTATAAGAACAAAAGAAACAGAATTGACAGCCAATTTTATGATTATATTTTCGCGGTTTTACGACCGCTCCAGAGACAAACAATCTAAATCGGGTATTATTTTTCCATATTGCACTGTTTTTTTTTTTTTTTTTAATAAGACCTAAGTATTTGCTAAGTTTTAGCAAAAAACCCTATAAATCTATTAGAAGAAAACTTAGATAGTATTGTTAGCTAGCTTTTTTCCCAAGATAGCTAAGGTTAGGCCTATGCCAAACGTAGAACCTTTTATGAGACGAATCAAACTTAGTGAGTTAAGTTCATGAAAATTTCGACGTCTATCACAGTTAAGTTCGTCTGAATGAGTTTGGATCGTCCAAAACGTTCTATCCGTCTGCTTCAGACGGACGGAACGTCTGAAGATCGTCGCTGGGACAAACGTCGACTTTCACATGCGACAAACTAAATTAATACATTATTAAGAATTTTTATTATTCATTCAAAATGTTTCCCCAATTCTGGTTGGCTAAAAGCACACGCATAATTCGCCATAACCAGCTACTAATGACCAAATTTGGAAGAATTTTTTGTTTAATAAACCGATGACGTCAAAAGTGCAGCTTTCTTGCTTGTTAATGCACCATTAACAGAGAAGACCTGGGGACGAGGATGAGTTGTTTTGGTTGTGAAAACAAAAATGGTGGACTAGTTTAAGAGTAAAAAGTAGGCGAAATAACAGCTAAAAACATGGCAAGAACAGCAAGAAGACAACTCGAAGGGCGACATTTGTTATTTGGAGAATATTTGCGGAGCTGAACATCCCTAAACGTGCACTATCGAAGATGAACTTAACATCGATGGATCGATGGAGGTAAGCATGTTTTAGCCATGTTTTTAAACTAGGAATTATTTTGAATGAATAATAAAACAATTATTGAATTCGGCTTTCGTATCATGTGAAGAATTATGGAGATCTCGGATAATTCTTCATAAGATACTCAGCCTCATTCATTAATTGTTAAGTATGATAATAGCCTCGTTCGGGAGAAAATTAATCAAAATTCACCTTTTGGTCTGACGTTCGACGTCTGACTCAACAGACGATCTTACTTTAGGTCGACCCAAATGAGAGTTTGGTTCGTGTCATGAAAAGTTCGGCGTTTGGCCTAGGCCTTAGCTACAGGCAGCTAGGGTTAGTGCGGGGATAATGATGTCTTGGTCGAGTCTGGCGGGTTTAAAGAGGTTTGCGCAGGCCTAGGATTTATTCTCAGTAATTATTTTATAGTCCATACATGTGTTACATTCCTTCATTTTTATCTGCAACTGTACAGTTAGGGCAAACGGTTTCATAAAACTACCATAGATTTATCACGTACCAAACTTACTTGTTTGCAGGACAGGTGTCTCTCACATTTCCTCTTCATTATTCATGCGTAAGAAAAAACATAATTAACAGAAAATTGATCAGTTCTATTCGCTCCGCTGTTTGGTCACAGAACTTATTGACGGTGTAGTGTGAACAATTTCCTTCTCGACGGTAGCATCGAAACAAGTATATATGGGCTTCCTAAGCTTCTATCTGCCCTAGTTGATTAAAAATATCCTGAATTAGACATATAACTGAACTCAGTCTCCTTCATTAATCCTTGACAATACTATTTTGAACTTAAGGGGAATATGTATGTGCATCAGTGCGTTATTAGATTATTTATTCAGCTTATTTAATATCTTTCCGCGCCAAGATGTCATTTTTAATGAGGTAGCCTTTTTCTTTCAAAAAAACGGCCTCGATCGTTATTGCTTTCAAACTTAGAAAACTCTTACGATACTTCAGGGGGACACATTGCCGGGGATAGATCTCGACGGCGTCTTTCTTTCGTTTCGTTTTTCTTTGATAAAATCCTCAAATCTACCTCTACTAGTTCCAAGGATAGAGAGGCTAGGGAGGAATGGACATAAACCCGACGTTTCTAATCAACGCCACTACCTTGAGAAATTTCCCTACAAGGGCATATACACCTGTACGATGTCAAAAAGATTTAGAAAGGACCTTTTGGATTTTATTTGGCGCCCAAGGAGTGATCATTCTTTTCGGGAACATAATCACGGTCATTGTATTCCTTTCAAACAAGAAACTGAGGAGGAACTATATGAACATCTTTCTTGTCAGCCTGGGTTTTGCAGATATCCTGATGGCACTGCTTGTCATTCCAGGTCACGCTATATTCTGTACGGGATGTCAATACACTATAACAAAGCATTGTTGGTTTATTGGTGGTACAAGATTTGTGGTTTTCCCAGCAACAAAATTCAATCTTCTCGCCATAACTTATGATCGCTACTTAGCCGTGTTAAGGCCACTACAGTATCAGGTTAAAATGACAGGAAAACGCGTCATCTCAATTCTTCTTGTTGCATGGACTCTACCCATCGTACTAGCTGTATTAAGAAACGCTTGGCAGCATACATCGTCGCCGGAGAAGTCGCTATACGTCGATCGTATTTACAGTACAGTGTTGATATTCGCGTTTGTTGTAGTGCCAGTGGTGTTGATGGTGATTGTGAATATACTTATAGTGCAAGCGATCAGAAGACAAAGAAGAGCGGAAGACAATCGCGCAAAGTTATTAAGACGTAACAGAGGCATATGCAATTTAGGTCACAAAGAAAACTGGAATGAAAGACATCTGAAACACAAAGGAACAGTATCATGCATTTTAATCGTTCTGATTTTTGTTGTTTGCTGGATACCAAGGGCCTTTTATAACTTTAGCCATGTGTTTGGTCGGCCTGACTTGGCTTCTCCGTTATTGGAAAAACTGTCATTGTTTTTCCTTTTTTTACAGTCGGCAGTAAATCCTGCCATTTACTCATATTACAGGGATGATTTTAAAAAAGCTTTACTGGATTTGCTTTCGAGAACCTAATTAAAAATAGAGATTCACATTAGGTCAACGCCCCTAATTTCCTTTAGTTCTTCAAGCTTTCAATTTTGTAGTCATCATTGACTCACACAAATGAGACATGCCATTAGAGTATTGTTACAAATTGACTGTCTCGTCTTCACTTGTCTTTATGATTTGCACAGTGCACATATCATAAGCAGTCAGCTGTAGTTGAGCAAACTTGGAAGCAATTATTTGGGCTAGGTGGCGTTGAAATTTCCTCATCCTCCACCGTTATAAGGTATTCAGTAATTCTCCATTTGTGGAAAATACAGTATGATCAAATCAACTCTACAGTACAGGAGAATCAAACTTATTATGTTATTTACCGCATCGACGCGAAAAAAGTAAAATTAAAAGGCAGTTTTCATGCTTGAGGAATCTGAGGAATAAAATCTGTTGACCATTATCCCTCTTTTGGGTACGCCTTGGTATTGCTAAACAAAATGTCTTAACGTCGGAATATTTTTTTTAACATCGAAATATTACCTTTTGGGGTGGATCCACACAGTGAAGTTGTGGTACCATTATACGCAATAAAACGAAAAAAGGGTAATTCTTAATCAGTTTATGTCCAACCGAATGACCGAATCCGAGGTCTGAAGATGTCTTGGCTTCAACGTAAGTATATTACTTCGTCGGCCCCACCAACTGAATTCTTACTTTTTAAAGGAGAATTCTTTCCTTTTAATTAAAAATTCTTGCTCTCTAATTTAGATCCTTTAGAAAGGTCTAAATTGGACGCTTGCTCACTTTCCACTAGCATTTTGTAGCCAAAAATGCCAAGTGTAAAAATTTAACCTAGTCAGACCCCTCACTAAAAAAGTTTAATAACTTCAAAACCGTTTAAACTATGACGACCAAACTTTGCGAATTGTCCCAAAAATTATCTGGGAACATTTTAACTGATTAGCAATATGTTTTTTGTTTATTTTAACTGCTAGTGTAATCCAGGCATTTTGGTGACTGATTTGAGAAAATAAGCATGAATTCAAAGTGTTCAAATGGCAGATGCTTGGTTCAATTTTTAACAATGTTCATTTTCTGGGAATTTCATAATCACGGGATCAAGTTATGCCTAGATGCTGGAAACGATGAATACGTTATTGTTTGTAATTCTGATGGACTTATCATTTATTCATTTATTTATTTATTTATTTCATTTCATCATTTTGAGTCAGTCAGACTGTAGTAATTAGGTCTCTCGTCAGGTCTCCAGCAACCGGAGCTAGAAGCGGAGTCGACGTTTCACCAATATGATTGAATAAGCATATGATTCCTCCAGGTGGGCTATAAATAGCAACTCTACCCATTTGTGCGCTCGATATAATTATATGACGCAGACGTCAAAAACTTGAACTTTTCTTCTTCGATTAAGTAAATTACTTTTCCGCCTGCTAACATATTTTAATTTCGAGAGTTGAAGAGTAATAAAACACCCTGACAGGGAGCTTATTAAAAGACATCTTCTTGTACTGAATTGTTGGACACTGTTTGAGGAAGATTTCCTTGCCACCTACACGTATAGTTTGAAATGAAAGCGTGCTTTCAACTTAATTTACTCTGAAATGTAAATAAATATGGTATAGTTATACCTGTCAATATTTATGTAAATAATGTAAATAAATATGAGATAGTTATAGTACCGCTCGGTATAATTATGTGACGCAGACGTCGAAAACCGGTTGAACTCTTCTTATTCTCATTCGCTAAAGTAAAATAATCACTTTTCCGCCCGCTCACATATTTTAATTTCCAGAGTTAAAGAGTAAAAAGCCAAACAGGGAGCTTATTAGAAGACATCTCATTGTACTGAATTGTTGGTTACTGTTTGAGGAGGACTTCCTTAATATGATAGTTGCCACCTACACTTATATAGTTTGAAAGGAAAGCATGTTTTCTAGTATAGATTTACTCGGAAATCGGTAAATAAATATGGCATAGCCATTGTACCGTACGACAGACTAATATATCCGAAATTTGAATAATAGCTAACGCAAATATGACAGTTGTTAGATTATTAATCTGCTGCCCATGCTCAACCGAGAAACACAGTGAATCAGCAGCCAATTTTACGGTTACGGTTATATTTTCGAGCCCTTTATGACCCCTCCAGGGACAAAAAATAATCTTAATCGGGCAATATTTTTCCATATTGCACTCTTGTTTTTTCATAGAAGACCAATGTATTTGCTGTGTTTGCGGCTTGACTCGATAAGATGTCACTTTATTTGCTAGTTTTTGCAATTTGTGTACCTTGTTAGGATAAAGTTGATGCCATTATGTGAATAATATACTGCTACAATGGTGCGTTCGATTATCGAAAGACATCTTTTTTAATTGAAAAGAGTAACTGATCTTTTTCCAGTACCAATGTTTTGAGTTTAAAAAACATGAGTTTAGAGTTGTAATATCTCGTAGTAGTCTAACCAAGATAGCGATCATAGAACACTTTTGAAAGAGATGACGCGTTTAATATCTTAGTCTGTCATATAAAGCTTTCTGTTTGGTATCAGTGACTTGTTTAAAAAACATGAACATAAATAGCATTATTTTGAAACCAATGGACACGCTGAAATGAAATGGTGACATGTTTTGTGTCCTCGGTACAACCAAAACGGGCCTTGGTACAGAACAGCTGTCTGATTTTTAATCGTGTAAAGCAAAGGAAAAGTTGGGAGGATGAAAGATTATGATCCAGGGCTGCTATAACTTAGGCATTTCTTTTTTTGAAAAAAAAAAAAAAAACCGACTGATCGAGAATCATGGTCAAGCAAGACTGCGATACTTCAATTGAAACTATCTTTTTTATTGTCTACGGCTTTGTCGGTGCCACGGCGTTCATAGGCAATACGTTCGCTTGCGTTGTGTTTCTTCAAACAGAAAAATTTCGGCAGAGCAAAATGAACGTTTTGCTAGTAAGTCTCGCCGTTTGGGATATTCTGATGTCTGTTTTTGTTGCTCCGTTTTACGCGATCTATTGCGGTCTCGGCTGTGAATATCCGCTGATGGGTTACTGCTGGTTAATGAGAGGGGCGAAGGATTGTATAAAGATAGGTACAACTTTGAATGTGTACGCAATTACTTACGACCGTTACATTGCTGTGATGAAACCGCTTCAATACAGCTCCAAGATGACTCCAAAAAAGGTTGCCGCCATTTTATCGACAGTTTGGATCTTGTCGGTCATATTGGCTTTGATAAGGAACTTCTGGCAGCATAAACAAAACATCGATATTCGTTTTGCTAACAAGGTCTACGACAGCATCATTGTTTTGGGCTTTGTCATTGTTTTGGTTATAGTTATGCTCATAACAAATATTAAGATTGTGGCGGCAATAAGAGGGCAAAGGCAACGAGAAGAAAGACGTTTAAAAAACGGCTGCGCCGCAATGTCGTCTCAAACGCGCAAGGGAACAGTTGCCTGTGTAACAGTAGTTCTCGTGTTCGTTATTTGCTGGATACCAAGAGCTATTTACAACTTTAGTTTTGTCATTGATCCGCCAGGACTAGCAAATCCTCTATTCTTCAGAATATGCTTCTTGTTTCTTTTTCTTCAGTCATCGCTGAATCCATTCATTTACTGGTTTTACAGACGCGAATTCCGCCAGGCAGCTTTCTCAGTGTTAAAATGTCACACTGTTATCGAGAGAGCGGAGACAACTGTCTCGACTTTAAGGACTGTATCGTTCCTTTCTGAAACAGGTCAGAGCCACCAGCCCTTCAACCAAAATGAATCTATTTCCCATCTAAGTCAACGGGAGCCATCTGATATACAGCTGGTGTCATACACTTCACGGGCATAACAAATTCACAAAAGAGATTTTAAAAAATGAAGGAACATTTTAATAACATCCTACCTCGTTTGACAAGAACATTAACTATCTGACAACTTTATCAGTAAAACGAACTTGATTGTTTTCAGACAAATGTTATGGCAAGGTAAATTTAAATTTTTTGGTAAATAGAGTCATTTGACCTTCAATGGTATACCAGGCTAGAAAATAACTGAATTGTGAGCCTTTATCTTATAAGACGTAATACGGGATTTATAATTCATTATGAACTCTGGGATCATCTATTTCTACTGGTCATTCTCTGTATTCTCTTTGTATACTAACACACTATAATAGATTGTACTCAGCTCTCGGACATAACTAAAAAAACTACTTGTAAAGTTTCATAATTTTGAAAATATTGAATCTGTATCTGATGTTAGAAAACTTTCGTACCCATTGGTCGGGAAGATTTCAGTTGAAGTATAAAGTATACAGTATACAGTATACAGCTCAACTGACGTCATCCAAAAATGGCGGTCGAGTTACTCTAAAATAGACTAATTTTTTTTTTTTGCGAGTCACCTTTGTTAAAACTGAATATAAAGTGGAGTAAAAAAGTCTTGTTAAGGTTTAAACAATCAAGTACTAAAAAGAAAAGCTTCATTTCCTTTGTATGCATTATCAGTTTCACTCAACGGTGAACTAACAGAAAGTTGTTGTTGCTGCTTCATGGTTTCCTTAGTTTTCATTGCGTTTCTCAACTGTACAAGAAGACATTCATAGATCTCAAAAGGTTCCGGTACCCCAAATTATCTGTACGAAAAACGCTTAATTTAGCCTGAGAAAAAACTTATATTGATCGAAATGGTTATATTATATTATACAAAAGGTAATCTTGTTCAGTATCTTTTGTTGTTTATTTTGGATTTCTTTTTCTTGATCTTATTAGCACATTGTCAGCTAACTAAAGCCTATCTGAAACTTTCGCTTTAACAGATAGCCTCAAAAAAAAGAAACTTTTAGCCCTTAAGAGTCCCAGAAACTCGCTAAAAGTGATCAGTATTCCTTTTTGGTGGTTGTTAGAATAAATAAATGACACTCTGGTCAAAAGAACATGACAGCTGTAATAATACTTCCTCTTAAGCAATAAATTCTAAAAGAAGACCGTTTATTTGCTCAGTTGACACTTGCTCTCCTTTTCAAATCCATTAGCTTTGGTTGATACAACGTGTACAATTAAGTAAAGCAGAGTCTTGCAGAGTAAAACACGTTCTAACGTTGACTAGAGCTTGAATTTAAACTATATGTATTATTTGTGACCGCTTTTATTTTTTCATCTCTTTCTTTTTCCTTTTCTTTTTTTGAGGAAATCGATAAATGCCAACCATTCACAGGCACAATACAATGCAGAATTTTTTAGTTATTTATTAAAGTAAAACTCGTAGCTCCTAACGGTACATAAAATACGAGCTTTTTCCCAAGGTTTTTTGTATAAATCATTTATTCAAATAATATTTAAATATAGAGATCCTAATGGAGGATGTCAAAACAATTTCAGTGTATTTGCTTTCCATCATCATATTAGGTTGTGCTCAGGAAATTGGTCGAATGAAGTTCGAGAACAGGATCGATTCTTCGCCGAGATCGCCATCTTATAAGCCTCAAAGCAGCTACCCTAAACTCAGATCTGTAAAATGAGTAAATAAAAGGATTGGCAGAAGATTGTAAATAAAGAAAAAAGAAAGCAATCTTTAGAAACAAAGGGTTTGCCAATCCCGGTGGTTTGATTACATAGCTGAGGTTGTACACAATACGAGGCAACCAGCAGGCGATGTAAACAAACACTACGAAAATGCAGGCTCTTGTGCCTTTTCGAATTCTTAGTCTTGTTAGCTCTTCGTCATTGGCTCTACCAAGGTGTCTTCGGTTCCGCTCACGTTCTTTGTGAGTTTTGACAGCAATCATTACCTTAGTATTTACAAAAAGGGAGACAATGATTGAAAGTAACACAAAAAGAAACGTTAAGACAATGTCGTACAACTTGTTCGCGAAACGCAGATTTTCCCCACTCTTTGTATGGTGCCATGCACTTCTGATTGCCGCCACAACCACTGGGAGCAGCCAAACTCCACCTAAAATCGCTGTCACCCGCCTGTTGGTCATTTTCGCGCCATAATGAAGAGGATGGATCACTGCCAAATATCGGTCGTATGCGATTGCGCAGATGTTTAATGTTGATGCTAATAGGACACAGTCTTTCGTTGCTCTAAATAACCAGCAGTATTTCCCGAGGGGATATCTACAGCCTCTGCTGCAATATACGGCATAGAATGGAACAACGCCTATCGCCATTAACAGGTCCAAACATGCTAAACTTATAAGAAATACATTCATGTAACTCTGGCGAAGTCGCTTTGATGAAAGAAAGACCACGCAGGTGAAGCTGTTTCCAAGAAGAATGATGGCCCCGATTAAAGAGTTCAGTATCCAAAATATGACCTCAGTTGTTTTGTGACAATAATTAACGTTTGAGGTGATGTTAGTAGCATCCGCTTTATCCTCGAAGTCAAAGAAATCATCTAGCTCAGTGTTATTTGAAAAGGAACCTTCCATCAGTTACTAACAATACAAGGAAGGAATCACCTGACACTAATTTTCGAACATTAACCTGAAGGAAGTGGTCTTCCAAAATTTATCGACTGTAAGAGAGCAGCACACGATACTTATCGTGACCACAACACCAATGCAAGATGTTATAAAATATTTGCTTTGGATGATTTTTGCACTATTTGTACAGAATAGCGCATTATTGGCTAAGGGGTGACGTGTTTTAGCCTTTCATGTCATTGTATTGCTCGACAAATAAGTCAGTTTTTCATTAGTTCTAATGTTGAATAATCTCAATGTGACAGGAAAGACACGTAGTCGTGATCAATGCGAAGAAGATAATTTAACGGTAACCAGGAACAGATCCTCAATAGACTTTTATCTAGTATTCGTTGTACTAGACTTTTTTTGTTTCGCCTGTAATTAGAAACTTTTTTCAAAACGATCTTGAACCTGATCCTCTTTTTTTATTGTTCATACATTCCTGTCATTCCTCCAACCATGTCGGCAGTCGGATGTTATGGTTACGAGATATGACGTCATAGGAAATAAACGGTCGAGCCATTTTTAGGAGTGATTGTTTTTTTGTGTGTGCGTGTGTGCACCTTTTCTTACTACAGGGAAGTAAAGTAGAGTTCATTACACGAAGGCTATTAATCTTTTCATCAGATCATAACAGAAAAAGAATGACTGGTCGACATATAATGCTTTCAATAAAACCGGCATTAGCAAAAGCGACATAAAACCCTTGAATAGTTTTGCTTCATGGTTGCCGCGAATGTCGTCTTAGGCGATTTTATTGTCTAGTCGGTGAAAGTAGATAGATAAGAAGATAGTCGTCTTCTTACTCGTTTTGTCCCCTCCTTTCCCTAATACGTGCCGGTCTAATTGTGGGGAAAATAATTTAGCTTTCTTTGAACAACAAGAATTAGTACGTGCAGAAACTTGATGGTTGTAAACATTTGAAGACGAAAAAAAAATTATAGCCCACGAATTTCCTTTCTGTACGTTTATTTTCCCGTTCATATACAATCTTTCAAAATCCATTGCCGTTTGTCTCTAAAATTGATTGATAAACAAATTTGATTGACGGTACTGGCTTTAGCGTTACTTCAGAGTTCAGCTGGTAAAAACACGTTTTAACTGATTCTTAGAGTATTTTTGTGGAACACGTACTGAAACTAACAGCCACATTATTATAATAAAAAAATATTGCTACAATAAAAGATTGAAAGCATTTTTATTTATATATATTCAACTCTAAAATGGCCATCGAACGCTAATCAAGGTGACTCCAAAAAATTTATTTCAAAATATTCCGCCGCTCTTCCAACATTAGCAGTTTCTTCAAACTTTTCTTATTGATCACAGAACCATCGACCTACATTTTCCGTCTTCATAAATATTTCCAACAATCCTAGGTTTTTTAAATTAGTTAACATCATGATGGTTAAACTGTAAAGTTAATACATTATCGATGTCCAGTTTCAAAATTATTTACACAGAACTGAACTTTCATTAAAATACTGGGCAAGATGGGGACAATTTTAAATGACGTTACTTGTCAGCGCGGCCGTCCCAGAATACTTCTATGATGGCATGATGTAACGTACAATGTGGTGAATATTACGCGCGCTGTGATTGGTTGTTGTCCATGATCTATTATAGTACAGACACACAAATGACGTTACGGGAAACTCCTTTTCTTTGTTTTGTCTGACATGGCGCGAGCTTTGGGAAGTGTTTGTGAGATTATTCTGTATAAATCAAGTGAAATTAACGGCGATTTGAAAATGCCTTAAATGGAAGAAATCTTCAAACCAGTTACTATAGTGTGTCATCGCCACAAGAATGGAAGAAATATTCAAACCAGTTGCCATCGCGTGTGTCATCGCCACGAGAGAGCCCGCGGTTTCAAAAGTGTTTACGCGATTATTCTGCTTTTAGCAAGTAACAGTTGGCATTGGTAAACGTAGGCGTTTAAGCTAAAGGATTGCTCAAGCCACCTAACTTTCCACCCCCCCCCCCCTGTCCTCTGCCCCCTGGCATATTTTATTAAGAAAAGTGATTGTCTCAGTAAAGGTGATATAAATGATAATAAAATGTAGACCCTCGCTTTTTTAAAGTAAATTTCTCTCTCTTTTTGCCCTTTTGCCCCCTATTTATGAATGTACCTGTTGGATTAATTAAGGAGTGTTTTTCGATTGCATGCCCGATATATAGGACTTACTGCTATCGAAATCAGCTCCGCAAGCCAAATATTCATTGAATGGATGCGAACGGAAATAGTAAAATTGTTAACCAATTTTTCAAACAATGGAGAATGCAAGCAATGTAAATTTTAGCCTTGATCTAGTTTACTCTTACCCAGTTTGATTTATGCTTAGAATTAAGAGGATGTTTTTAAGTGGTTACAGTATAATAAGTTAACTAAGGGATACTTTATTGGGATGTAATGTCAGGTATCACGAATATTCACGTATTATTAGTTAATCACAACACCTTTACAAGTTTGACGTATGAATTATTCATCAACATAAACCTTCTCCTTTCATGAATTCGTTCTTAAACAAATATGTTCTATTTTGGTACAATTTCGCGACTTCCACGACAACCCTTTTATCGTAAAAGAACGTTTGATGCAACGTTTCAGACATAACCGCGTTAGATTAGACCGATTGCAAAGATGATTATATATATTGTCGTTCGTGCAAAGTTAGGAGAACCCTTTCACAGCTTTTTGATGAGAATTTGCTTGTTTGTTACAAAACTCTAGTTTCTTTTTCTGTATTCAATAGAGCTTCTCTCTTGCGAAAATTATCAGAACAGAACTGAGTTAAAGGAACATTATCCCGTTACTGCGCATGCACCAAATCTTGATTTTTGGACAGGATGTCGCGAAATCTAAAGATGCGAGGAGAGTAAAACTTCTCAGGATTACAGATCAATGATATATTGTTCCTGTTAGGTTTCGATTTGGGCAAAATCTGGATTTTTTGGCGTTACTTTTATTGCCGTTGGCCGGAGGACCAAAAGATTGGAAGCACTTTGATGCCGACTGAAGGCTTATTTCTTCTGCTGGCTTCCATACAAGCTCAGATAATTGTGAAAGGAATACGCAGAAATGAAACGGCAACAATAAAAACTGTAAGAAAGAAACCATTGAGACATTGATGTCACTGAGGAGATCTTGTGGAGGGGAGCTTCGTGAAGCAGAATGTTTTAGAAAAACTAGTGCCATGAAATCATAATATAATTTTTGACTAACCTTTCTGATGATTCATAGCGTTTTGATTGCATTTTTATTTATGTCTTTCAAACGTTTGAGGCTAGAACGCGAGCAAATCAGGCAGATATTACTAGACTTAGAACAACTGACCTCTGACACGAGTTTCAAATTAGAAAATATGCTTTTAAAGCGAGCGGAACGAGATTTTCGGGTCGCGAGGCGGCCCAGCTAGCGATAAAATCGCGATAAGTCTTCGAACCGCGAGCCAAATTTTTATATAAGACGAAAGACTTCTTTGAAAGTCTAAAATATTACTTGAGAATATAAACAACAAATCTCTGTCGGCGGTGCGGTCCGGAAGGAAATCTTGTCGAGTCAATATGACAGTTCTATTGTCTTTTGAAGAAAAAACAGATGACGCTCGCGCGTGCGCATAATCGGGACACTGTCCCTTTAAATTCCATGCCAGGGCCGTAATTTCAGCATTGTGCTGCATTGAGGGATTCCTCTGATTCAATGCAGGGCTTTCTGATTGGTAAACATCGACATTCACAGAGAGCCAATCAAGTGCGACCTCCCAATGGCGCAAAAGCTTGGTTACACTGAAGAGTTGCGAGCAAAATTGCACTCAAAATCTACAAAAAAAAACGTAGCTATACCGCTCGGGTTATGCTAATTTCTGACGAATTCAACGCCAATCAACGGCCAACCCCATTAAGCGGTCACTTGCCGTCACCCCAATGGTGGCCTCTTGATGGCGGTTCTGAACGTATTCAGGAGCCCGCTCCTGACGTATTCAATTATTTACCCCCTTTAAAAATTCTGTGAAAAAATATTACTCATTACAAGATATTTTCCTGCTTAGGAAGAACAATGCAATAATTTCAGTGATTTGAGGTTCTGTATATTCATTTTCACTGGAAGAGGGTGCATTTCCATCTTTTGAGATGTCTTTATCTTTGTTCTAAATAAAAAGCAAAACTTATTAGTTTCTAGAAGTACGGTATATTACTTTGGAACTAATAAAAGAGTAAACACAAATATCATTGGTCAGCTGATATATGTGAAATGAATGCATTTTATTAGATTACAAAATAATGAGTTTTAATTTTTACTGTCACTCCGACAAGAGGCCAAGTAATGCCAACACTCGAGTGGATTTCTGTTGTATTGCAATCGGAACAATAATGTGTGCTTAGGGGTGAGACTTTATTGCCAGCTCCCAAAGTTACTGTTAGGGTATAAGCATAAATTGTGTTACTGATTAAACACTAAATCATTGGATAATGCAATTCTAGAGCTCTGATTGCGGGCTTAGCCATCATGGTATATGATATGATCAGTAGCCAACTCGGTGCAATGCGCCTCGTTGGCTATCTACCATCTCATATCCAACGCGCACTCTTGGAATAATTGTTAATTGTGTTTTATAATTTTTTAGGGAGATTTATTTGATATGAACGAATGATATTTGTAACTGGCCTGCCAGAATACCCTTTGAACGCTAACCTTTCGGGAAACAACTCCCCTGGCCGCGGCAAAGCTTTTGTTCTTTCTTGGAGTCATATCACTCAAAAGCACCCATACTGCCGAATAAATTTCTTTTAGAGTGAAATTAAATTCAAGCCTGGAGGCCTCTCTCCAGTATTCCGAAATAAGAAGCTGAATTAAACAATTAAAAGAATTTAAAATTTTTTATCAAGAGGGGGAAAACTTTAAAAAGTTCTTTTTGTTACAGAATATGAAATTAAGGATGATAAGACCACTTGGATGAAAAAGTGTTTCAATGTCTATATTTCAGTGCAAATGCAAATTAGGTGTCCTATAGTGAATTCTGTATTATAGTCATAAATTATGAAATAGCTGTTTTTAGAAAACCTAGCGAATTGTTATTTTCTTTGAGATACAGAATTACAAAACAAACACCCTTGTTATACAGTAAAAAAGGGCTTGGTCATTTGGCGCAACTGGCACTTCGTCTTAAAAAGAAAGTGAATTAACCTCTTTGCTTTCAAGGTCATAGTTTTTTCAGTGACTTGTTTTTAATCTTTACTCTAAGTAATAGTTAAAAGTAAAGAAATTGGCTCAACACGATGTATACGAATCCTTTCTGTGACAAACAATGGCTATGCAAATTTTTTGAAAGCAGTATCATTTGGCCTTTCATTGGAAACTTCACACGTCGTGTGCCTATATCCAGATCAGAACATCGTAAGACTCCAGATTCTGAGACAATCTTAAAGAGAAATCAAGACACAATTCTAGAACAACATGGACTATAAACGTTATCTGTTTCTTATGAAGAAATTGCCAGAAGTGCAGGTAGACTGAATAACATTTTTGCGTCAAGCTTGCGAAAATGGCACATGTGTCGCCCAAAGAAAAAACGGTGCTAATTATGTTAATGAGAAAAGGAATTCTTGAACGATATTCGTCTCTCTAAGGCGTCATTGATGCACCTGCCACAGTATTTTAAACAAATAAGAACGAAAAATCATATGATTCGATCATTACGAACATCATAGATCAGTACTAACAACCAGGTGAAACAAGAGCATGGAGAATCTAACAGAAAAGATGACAATCGAGGGCGCAAATCAAACATCTTGGGCCACCAATATCACAGAAAAAGGAAACTGTGACAAAAAATTGAAGCAAATATTCTGGATCGTCAACGGAATTCTTGCTGTTATTGTTTTAACAGGAAACGTGTTCACTTGCGTGATTTTCCTTTCAACCAAGCGACTCCGACAACAACATATGAACATCTTCCTTGTTAGCCTAGCAGTCAGTGATATTCTGATGGCACTGGTCGTGGTTCCAGGTTACACGGCAGTATGTGCTGGTTGTAAGTACCTCTCGTCTGACACATGCTGGATATTGGCCCAGACCAAAGACATCGTATTCAGCTCCACGTTTTGTAGCTTACTTGCTATTACATACGACAGGTATTTAGCAGTGTTGTGTTCCTTACAGTATAGCGCCAAGATGACCCGACGAAAAGTGACTGGCATAATAGTTTTTATTTGGGGTTTTCCAGTCCTTGTTGCTATCGCGCGTAATATCTGGTGGCAGACGCAGTCAGAAGAGAAAGCAAAGGAGATAAACAAGGTCTACAATGCAATATTGGTATTTATTCTGGTGGTGATACCTGCATTTATTATGGCGTTTGTAAATGCGCTTATTTTCCGTGCCATTCGATCACAAAGAAGAAGGATTATTCCCAGGATAGAACAGAGTTCAAGCATAAGTCAAGGCGAGATGTGTAACGTGGAAAAGCGTACAGAAAACTCGCAGAAACGAAAAGGAACAATTGCCTGCGTGGTTGTTGTGCTTGTGTTTGTGTTTTCCTGGATACCTCGCTCCATTTACAACTTTGCATACGTGTTTGGACGTGATGATCTCGTTACTCCACTTCTGGTTAACCTGTCAATGTTTTTCCTACTTTTACAGTCGTGCACTAATCCGATCATTTATTCCTTTTATCGGGCAGATTTTCGGCAGGCGGCTAAAAGGATTCTCTGGTGTACGTAAAGCTATTACAGTACAGTTATATTGTGCCCGAGTAATAAATGACTCTCTACGTACAGAAGAGAGGAGGTTCGGACTCAAAACTGTTTCAAATAAAGGAGGAATTGAAGCCTTAAGAGCGAGTGGCCCCCTCCTTGCCCTTATCAGTTCTGTGTTAAATCAAATTTTCAGCAAACTTTAGTTGTCGTTCTATATAAATTGCAAATATAGCTGATAAAACATTGCTTTGTCTTTTTTCAAGAGAGCGGGTATTTTAATGTTCAGTGGTGTAGCTCTAACGGGCAGTGACGGCCAACACGAGGCCTATTGTTTCGATTTTGAGAATGGACTTTCCCTCTTCAAAAACAGAATTTGTATCCTATTTGGTTCATGCTTAGTGTGCGTTTATCGAGTTATGGTCGGCACGCGGGAAGTTTGAGGAGAACGAGAGAAGCGTAGTGCTCTAGGCGCAGCCGACAGCACTGAATTTTACCTTCTTCAGTGCTCATCACAATTCCCCGTTTTGAATTAAAGACTTTCAGCTGGCGGCTAGTAACCAATTAGTTCCTGTTGCATGCCAAGTAAAGCGAAAAAGTGACACTTCGACAACAGCAGCAGCAGGTTTTCTTTCAAACTATGACATATGCAAAGTTATACACAAGCAATTAGCAATAGGCTGTAAAAGGCAAAAGTTGAAGTTGAAGTTGAAGCATCGAGACAAAGCGAAAAAGGTTACTTTACGGTAGATATTGACATGAAAAATAGTTAATAGTTCATTTACTTTTAGACCAATTAGATTTTAGACTATTTTATTGTTATTATTATCATTTATTTATTCATTTTTGTATATAATATTTTAACGTTATTAAGGTAATTTTATAGTGAGTATTTATTGTAAATATTTTCAAATGTAACCGTAAGTTTATTAAGTAGATTTTATTAACTAGATGTCCCCGATTAGTAGGCTACTTGTGGCCAGCTAGAAGATTTTGACACGTTAATAAAGTTGTTCATTCATTCATTCATTCATTCACCAAGTCCACTGAATACAATCCTCAAAATTTTTGAACTGAAGAAAAATTCAAACGGACGGTTCGTTTACGAACATACAAGATCTTTTCCAATTTACTTTGTGGAAATGCAGTTTTTAAAGTATTCGCCTTTTTTTGCTTTTCTATTGCGACTCACACAATATTCCCACATCGCAATTCGACACTTTGGTTACATGGAAGGATTTTGAATCCGGTAAATCGGCTTTTACTTTTCTCTCAAACTGTTCACTCATCTGTTCGCTTTTTCATCGCACGAGGCCGAGGCAGCTCCTCCTCCCCTCTGCATCTCCTCACCCCTCCCCCGACATCTTCCCAAGTTTTGCCAGAGTGGAGCTTGGGGACCAGAAAAAGAAAAACAAGATGGCGCCCTATGATGGTCATGTTGAGCTACAAGTGGAAAGCACGGATTCTGCAAGAAAGCGGCTCGGTCTTTCAGTTCAGTGACTTATTATCGTATTGATAATTTAGCTGTGATAAAAAGAACGTACTTTATTTTCAACAAGAAGGCTGATGTCTGTATATAAACTTGCTCTGCATGGAGAGTTTCTGAGAGTTTTTGATCGCAGTACAGGTAAGACTTACAGTGCATACTTTAGAGCTATACGAAAGTTAAACTACATGGTATTAGGTTAGCTCAGAATTAAATTAGATCCTTTCAGAATGGCGTGGATTAAGACGGGTCAGCGAGGTAGGGAGGGGTGGGCAGTCAATATGTTTTGTGTGGTACCTAATAGTTGGTCACGTGATCAACTTTCAGTGAACACAAAAACAGTTCACTTTTGAAAAATTTTGTTAGCACAAGCTGAAAGAGCAGTAGCATTGGAGAATCTGTAAAGTAGCTAATGCATTGGCTGCCGAAAATTAAAACTAAAAAGGCTTTGTATTATATGAGAAAAACAACTCTTGCCACCCAGTCATGCTTGAGCAGTTTTCCATTCAAATCCTTGCAAATTGTGAATTTGTTTAAAAACTGTTGTTAAATCTTTCCCTTATGCATTTAAGAAAGTAACATTTAATAAAACAGTTTTTAAAAAGGCATAATTTATAAAACTGAAAAACTGGATCAAATTAATTTTTCATAATAATTATGCAATTTGCTATTTTTCTGAAGCAGGATGGGTGCCTCAACATGATAATTGTTTTCGGCCTCTAATATCAAAAGCAACATGTTATTGATCTGTTTTCTAAAAGATCTCAACATGGATCGAGTTCCAAAACTTAGCTCCGAACCTAGCGAAAGAACCATTAATTTTGTGTATGTGTGTGCGTGAGTCCGCGGTCAAGGTTAGCCATCATAGGCCCATATTGTAATTATTATATCAAGACTAGTTTATCCTAAGTCGAGGAGACCTGACTCATTATAAGCCTTGTGGTTTCTTTCAGGTCTCCTCACCATTTACTTTTCTTTAATCCCATATTATTTCCATCTTGCATTGTGAAATGTTGTATATAATGGCAAATAAAGAATGAATGAATGAATGGTTAATTTGATTCAGTCTTCATGTGTTCATGTGTTAATGTGTTAATGTGAAAATTGCTGGAAGAAGAGAACCTAGACTTGTGTTTATGCTTTTCATTAGCTTTAATGAAAAGATTACTTTTCTGTTAGTGGGAACAGTGGAACATGAGAGGTTGAACATTATTTGAAGGGACTGTTTCAAGGTTTATAACGTATTTAAATGGAGGAATTTTGAAGGGGCAAATAAACGCACTGCATGTGCTCTGGATTCTGAAAAATACATCAACTGAAGGACTCGTTTTTGCTGCACAAGGGGTTTGTAAAGGGGATTTAGCAGCTTGACTCCAAGCAGCCAAACTACCGGACAGGCACATGTAGCGTAGTATCAAAGAGCAATAAATTATATATACTTAATAGGTTGAGTAGTAATGGGATGAAGTGCCTAACACTTTTTTTAGTGCTAAACTGTCAATGTGGTATTCCCAGCTCAAATGACTGTCCAGTACGACCTAGCTGATTATTTCAAAACACCTTATGTTTTCAAGCTCGTCAACTATTTATTGTCAAAGTGTACGTGTTCCAACTTCTTAATCCTAAATCATTGATCTTCTCCATCTAGGAAATGTTACCATGCTTTATTCATGTTCATAAGGTGTTGAAATGAATTGCAAGGATTGTTGAGATTTTTAACAAGAAGTGACAGATATAATTATTGCCACCAGTTTGTTTGCTAATAAAATGGTTTATTTATTTTTTCAGGCAGAAAAAAGACAACAAATGAGGCAAGCTGGTTAGAGGGTAATAGAAATGGTCTGCATCCTTGATCGAGTCTGGATTTAGAGGACACAGCATCATAGTCCAGGAATTACAACTGGTTTGGTTTGTTTGCTGTCATTAATAATACGTAAGTGTATAAATTTGCTAATAGTTACCCTTCTTCATTACAGTGACTTAGTTTTACAATTTAATGACCCAAGCCTGGGAGAACATTGAATGTGTGGGGTTCAGTTTTTTTGCTCAAGGGGTTTTCTCCTATGAGGAAGTGGGCAGGTTATGATCACCCAGTTGTTGTTCTAAAGCCACTTTTTAAACTAGGACCTGTTCATCATCTGATGACATTATCTAGTAACCGTAAAATGTTCTGTGGGTTGGTCTTCACAAGCCGACTTAAAGCTGTTGTCAGATCACAAAACAAGTAAGTTAACTATAAATAGATTTTAGAAATTTAATATTGCAGGCAGGCTTTTGTAGTCTTTTTTTGTAAACTGATGTACAACGAATTTACTGTGAAACCAACAAACTGTGAACACTTGAAATATTCCAGGAATGTTTATTGTCTTTTATAAAATAACTGAGATAGTACATGCGATCTGATTGGTCAAAAACCTATGGTTTATTATACCGGTAAACCCATAGGAAAAGGCATCCGGACCACGAGCAATAAACAAAACCGGCTATTGATCTGCAAACAATGGTTTTAGAAAGGCTAAAAAACAGAACAATTTACTCACTCAGTCCTTCTTAATATTAAAAAGCGTTGATTTCCACATTTTATTGCAGAGCATCACAATTCGCTACTGCCATAGCTTTAAAAGTTTAAAAGTACAAAGCTGGAAACCAGGTTAAATTTCACGACGATGCCAAATTGCAGGGAAAGACAACAACAACTCTGTGAATTCCTGGTGTAGAAAGTCTCTAGGTAAACTTAACCATGTGCCAACCAGCAAAAAAACGGTAATATCGGTAATTCGGTAATATCGATGCCATAACCTCCTTCAAACCAGCCGACTTCACAAATCGATTATGATTGACTTACTGTGACTTTTAAGAGAGAAGACATGACTTGATCATGGTACTAAAATCACATTTTTTACCTAAAAGACTCTGTTCTACTAAAAGTTATTTTATAAAAGCAATAGACCACACTTTCTATGGATTTACTGGCGCGATAACCCACTTGGGATGTTGGGAGAACACTCGAAAAGCTTGTAGATCACTCGCCTTCGGCTCGTGATTTACAAGCTTTTCTAGTGCTCTGCCAACATCCCACGTGGGTTATCACGCTGGTAATCCCATAGAAAGTGTGGTCTATTACTTAAATGACCAATCACAGCAAATTAATATCAGGACATACAACATTAAACCACAATAACTAAACACATTGCCACATTGCCACTTTAAACCACAAACTAATAATTATTTATCATTTTTGTTTTAACTTGGCAGTAAATTTATTTGTATTATTTCTTACATTTCTGGCCATTTCACAGATCCTTTCCCATGTGGTGATGTTTGGTCCAAGCTTCTTTGCCTATCACACGTCGGACATCAAAACATTTTCTTCATTATTAAAGGGACGACATCAGAAAAAGGATCGCAGTCCCGTTTTAGGTATGAAAAGCTTTTTCATTATTGTTTTTAGCTTTTTTTACTGGTATAAGACTATAAAACTTTGGTAGACTGGGTAGCCTGTGAGGGGCAAAACCTAGTCAAAGTCTTCTCAGTCACCCCAG